ATTAGTTGAACTATTCCAAATTACATTGTGCATGATGTGCTCCACTACTAGATTTGATGAAAATTGTATTTCAGAAAAAGTGAAGAAATATTAGCTTTAAGAAAGAAAGTCAAATTCTAGCAGTGTTTTTGTATGTGCCATTCCAAACAACAGTAGTTTTCTTTTGGTGAATAAAACTACTTCAGATGGTTTATAATTTGAACCAAGTCTTAAGTTGACACCTGTGTTGAACTTTAACTTTGCACGGATATAGCTATAGCATGTTTACCTGGTGGCTTGCTTCACTTCTGGGCATGCATATTAGTTTTGCCTTCCCAGGTTTTGGTCTGCAGAAGTTCTTTGCCTGCTAAAAATATTTAACACATTTTATTCTATAAAATCTCTGACACTTTGCTGTGCAATCCTTGGTACATCACTGTGAACATCATTACTTTCAAATAAAATATATACTATTGCTGCAGAAGCTGTAGCAACTTTTGAAAACTCTGCTGCTTTTCATTGCCTTTTTTGCTTCCTGGTGTTTTGCCGTCAGATATAATCATAAAATCTTAACGTTAATTTTGAATTGCAGTTCAAAGCCCTTATCTTCTCTCTTTAGACAGATGTAACATGTCTTTGTTTCGACAGCTCTGCAAAGGCAGAAAAATTTGCCCCGTGTTGCCTTCAAAACCAAACAGCTACTTCCTACTCCAGCTACTAAAGGAGGTAATTAGCTTATAGCCTCTTACAGAGGTGCAGCTAAAATCAGAAAACTGTTCCCTTGTGCTTTAAGTCCTGCAGTGGAAATAATGCATCTGGAGACTAACAAAAGTGCATTTATTAGCAGTATCACAAGTTCTTGTGTACAGAACATTGCTATGTTGATGTCTTTCCTCTTGTCCTGCATCTCTTGCGAAGGTACACAATGAAGCTTGGTAATCTCCAGTCATGACATCTATGAAAACTATTACTGTACAAATTCATTTTCTCCTTGTTTGTTAAAGACTGACAGCTACATCCAAATGTTACCATCTTTTATTCTCCTTGAGAAGCAGATCTTGATTGTGGTCCAAGCTAATCAATACAATGTGTCAGCTACTTCTCCTATATAATCTCACATTTCGGGATTCTGGAGCAATTTCTTGTACAAAGTACTTTTATTTTCTTTGTAGGGCAGTACTATTATTCTGAGTAGACTATATATTATTATTCATAGTGGCCTCTGTGAATACACACAAATGGGTTTCTTCTGCGCCTGCGCAGGACGTTTCAGAAGTTTCTAGAGCTTAAAAAAGTATAACAGTTAAGATACCCCCCTAGGGCGCAAGCTCTGCCTCCTCAACCTTCCCCTCAGTTCCTTTTTTCCTGAGTAGGCAGTGTTTCTGGATTATATGGCAAAAAATAAAAATGTGGACATGCGGTATTTCTTTGGGGACTTTTTTTACTGTTATCCAGGCTCTTCCACAACGTGCCATTCCCCTTTGTCTCTTTGTTTTATCTTTTCAGTTAATGCCCTTATAAAATCAACTCAAGTACATTACGAAAAAGAACTTATAAATAAACAGTTCAGACAACTTTTAAGACAATTCACTAAAAACAGTACAAATTATTAAACTTAGTGGAGGATTTAGTTTGATTCCCCTCTGTGCCTCCCAGATAGGAACTGGACTTAATGATCTATAAGGTCCCTTCCTGCTCTCCAGTTCTAAGATGATTATAACAAAGACAATCATTTAGTTTTAGAAATGAGAATGAAATAAAGCATATTTTTCCATTTAGATAGTAAGGCACTTATTCTTAAACTGATCTGGAATTGTGATTTCACTTTTCAGAGAAACTGTTACTTCATTTAAGAAACTATTTAGCAATAAAGAAAGCTGCAGGAGATCTCATTTAACATTTAAAAATTTTGGTTTCCTGGCTTACTTTTTGTGAGTAACACAAAATATGTATTACGGCCCAAATCCGGTTGTTTAGCATAATAAACAACACTAGAGTAGGCTGAGTGAATCAATGGGGTTTTTTTTGTAGTGAGTCAACTCTTCCATAGGTTTCGTTGATTCATATGAGCCTACCCCAAATGTAACTTGCTTTAACGTCATAATTCACAGTTAAAGTAGGCCTATTTGAATATGTGGAATTTATGGAGAAGTAGACTCACCAAACCCCATTTATTCAATGGGCCTTCTCCATTATGATTTACAGCACTAAGCAACAAGACTTTAGCCTATGATTTGCAGCCATATCTTTAGAGCTGTGAATGTAGCCTTCCTGCAACTGACAGCAGATCAGAGATTCTCAGGATACTTGTAAGAATCCCCTAACTGCCTCAAACTATTGTGTATCCTATGTTCCATGGTTTTGGTTTGAATATCAATTAAAACGTGGTCTAGTGAAATAATGTTAGGTAGGGCGTTGTAAGGTTCATATGTGCAGTATGGAGCTTGACAGACCACAACTTACGTGACAGATTATGACTGTTACAGAAGAACAATTTTCCAGACACTTGGTTGAAGATACTCCTTAGAAGTCCCTGTGTTTCTTTTCCTTATAGAAGTTGTTCTCTCCTTCCTTCCATACAGTGAATGTATGTGTTTAGAGAAAGAGAGACACAAATTTGCTTATTGGCTTAGAAAAGCTTAAAATAATTTCTTTATATTTCCTTCTATTGGCAATGGTTGCCTCAGCTGAACAGTCAGAACCAGTATGGCACCAGAAAGGGGTGTAACTTAATTCTTATCTGGAGGTCATTGGTGCTGAAAAGGGGCTTCACAGATAGCCAGAAGTTCTATCTAGAAGTGAAAGTGTTAGTATACACAAACTGAGCAAAAAACATCTGTGTAGAATGTAAATTAACTAGGCAGTCAATTTCATCACGCTGCTCATGGTTTGGACCTCAGACAAAGAATTCCTTTTTCTAAGCACATTCTGCCTCTTATAAAGACATTCTTGTTACAGTAAAATTTACAGCTGTGTGCAATAAGTGGGCAGTATGGTATGGTAGAAACTAAAGTATTGTATAAAGTCAGTTTGGATGTGAAGCCTTATTCACAGAGTGTCCTGGATCATTAGATTAGAAAGGACTGGGGAACTATTTTTTAAAAACATTGCTACAGAAGATGTATGTATCAGAAAAAAAATTCATCTTTGAATTTATTCATAAAACCTTTATAAAAACACAAGTACAATGTTCAGAAGTATCTCTCTGTACATTTCTTATTCCATGGCAAGCTCAAAGGCTTTGAAAACCTGCATTTCATTTCAGATTTCTTTTATATTTCATTTATGTTACATAGCAGTTCATGAATTTATGTTATTGATGTCTTCTAAAACACTTCACTTAGTTTGAGCATTCCCCTCCTAATGTAACCATTGTCTGTGCTCATCAGTATGTCTTGCTCCATAATGTCATCATGAAATTCTCCTCCAGAAGTAGTCCAAAAATTATTATTTATATCCGTATCTTTCCTTCAGATTCCAGCGTCCTGTGTGATGCAATTGATTATAGATACACACAAGAATTTCCAGAATGAGTATGTAGTATGTAGCTTGGAACATTAGACTTAATTCCTATTGATAAGGTCTATCTGTACATTAGATCTCTTGGAATACAACTACAGTTTCTTGCATTGAAGTTTTTTATTGTCAAATACTGGTTTAAATTTAGAGGCTTTACTTTAGATTTTTAGTACCTGTAATAACATAAAGGAAATCAGACTTCCACCTTATAAGACCTACTGTTTTCCCCTCTTGGAGCTCCCACCAGCCTTGCCAGCCACAAAATAGATAAGAGTAGAACAATTCTGCCTCTGACAGTCGATCTAGGGGTTTGTTTTCAGTGCTGAAACTGAATTCAGTACAAAGTCCCTTCACCAAAGTCCCTTCACTAAAGGTCTTCAACTGGTTATCCCAAACTTCCTTAATCTCAGCAGTCTAATTTAGATAAAACAATCATTTTATTGTTGATAGAGTCAAAAACACTGATATGCTGCAGATAACCCTTTAAATTACCAGTTTACCTTCTGATGTGCCCTAACATTCATACTCTCAGTTAACATGTCAAATTCAGAAGGCAATGTGACTTCTATTTAATTCTGCTTCAAACGTGTATGGTAAAATACAGTAATACAAACAAGCTTAGCTACAGCATTCTCTCATGAGTAAATGTTGGTTCTTTAAGTTGTCATATCATCAAATCCCATCTTAAAAATTTATAGAAATAGCTTACATATGTCAAAGTCTTAAAGTTTTGTCCATACATTAACAAGTTGTATTATGTCATATGACAAGTAAGCATGACTTAAAACTTACTATCTTTGTATAATGTAAACTGTAGAACAGAATAATTCTGTAGGGCTGGCTATACTGAAATACATTCTTTAACATTTGCCTATCACCTATATTTGTGTGTGATGTGCTTTTTCCCCCATTGTGTATAGTACTAAGGCCAGTATCACTTTAAAATTAGCTGCAGAGAAGAGCTTTATATGAATTTACATGTAAGAGATGCTGACGAGTAGTCCAGATAGGCGGGGTATAAATCAAATAAATAAATAAAATAAATAAATAAAATGAAGAATAAATATGGTCCAAATATACAAATAATGACTTGTCAAAAGTAGGGCAGAGGAATAATGTATTGGAGCCTTCTTTTTCATTTTCTTTTCCACAATAAAAATAATCAAAATTATAATATATTCCAACCACCAATATAAAAACGTTAGTTTTGAAAACAGTCAAACCAAAAAAATTGCTTGTTATTCTCATTGATTAGTGCTCACTTTTTGTACTGTCGCTCATCAATTGCTGATCTTCTCTAATAGTAAGCATTTAACAAACTAAATGTTTCCTTCAGAAATGATCTTACTTCTTTCAGAAGATAGTTTAAAAGTATTAACACGTCTTGTAGTTCATGTACCTCTGCAATATAGATGCTTTTCAAATTCTATATGCTTTTAAACTGTTAACTGTTTTGTTGCTCTGCCAGTGAATGTGACTGTTATATTTTGGTAATTTTCCAGTTCCTTCTCCCAGTAAATTCCGATCCCCAGCAGCACCATCTCCCTTGGCTCTGAGACAGCCAGTAAAAGCATTTAGTAACCACGGACCTAGCCCTGCTGTCCCAGAAGCCGTCCAACTTCCACACAGCAGCTCCTCACCAGGTCAGTTAGCAGCTCCCACTTCAGTCTCTCCAAGCCCAGCCAGCAACATCAACAGTACAACACTTACAAGACCTGCAGGGACAACAGCAATGAGGAGTGGTTTGCCAAGACCTAGTGCCCCTTCTACTGGGGGCATACCAGTGCCTCGCAGTAAACTTGCACAGCCCGTTCGCAGGTGAGTCTGTTACTTTCATTTGAAATTTTCATACTGCAGAAGCAGTCTGAAAATAAATGCTTGCATGTTTTGCAGTCTGGTGTGGTTAGTTATCAGTTATGGTGTTTCCAAGCTAGAGTTCATACAAATTATGCAGCCAGTATGGCAGCCCTTTCATATAATGGGGATGTATTGGCAGGCATGAGGAAAGCTTACATGGTGTGAAAGTACAAATGTATCTTTGAAAATCCTGCGAGGTAGGACACTACTAGTTGGCCAGTAGCCCTATAATAAAACTAACAACCAGATGGGAGAGGAGGTGGATTTAGTAGAGTAGCTGAAAAGGGAAAGAAGGAAGAGACAAATAAAAATGTGTGGTGAGAACCCCTTCATTATTTCCACAATATTGTGGTAAATACCTCTGGATGTAAACATATCTGTAAGTCAGTGGAGAATATAAAGGTTTTTTATACAGCTGAGATTGGACACCAGTTTCTCTACCCCACCTGTAGTAAGTGTTAAAAGGTGGCAGCAAAATGAAGAGTCCCCGCTTTTTCTCTTGTCGATTTTTATGTGGTATTAAATCATTTTATTGCCAATGCAAATAGTAAATGCAGTTCATTATCCACACTTATAATTAGAAGAAGCTATTAGTTAGAAAGTGACATATGACATCATTTCATTGCAGTTCACAGTTGATATTTCAGTACAGATTCTGAATGGCTAAAAACAACCCTGCAATCCATGTATTATTTATACATAAATATAAATAATATAAAGTATTCTGGTTTAGAGGAACTTCATGCAAAGGCTGTGGGAGAATTTATTGAGGGAATTACTGAATTGGAGAACTTGAATGCAAAGTAATTCCAAATGCTTTTGTCTCTCTAGGCCACAGTTAATATTTAATGATATCTGAGAACCATTGATAATCTTTTTAAAGTAATAGCCCTTTTTCCAGGCCTTAGAAAAACTGTGTAAGTTTTCTGCTGATAATACATCACAGAATCTTCGAAGAAATTTTAATAGAATATTGAATGTGAGAAATATATTATAATTGTGTGACACCAAATCAATTTTGATTTATGGTGTTCCTTCTCAGGGTTTTCTGAACAGAGAGAATTCAGAAGTGGTTTACCATTCCCTTCTTCTGGGGGCATTCTCTAAGTGTGCAGCTTGCCCAGGGCTACACAGGTTGGTTCTTCTGGGATGCACAGCTTAGGCTCTGCCACCTACTTCTAGAATCATTTAATGCAGTGTAACCTCAGGTGTTCTTGGACTGCAATTCTCAGAAGCCTTCACCACCAGCTATGGTGGCTGAGGTTTCTGGGAGTTGCAGTCTAAGAACACCTGTGTTACCCAAGGTTGGGAACTACTGATCTACTGTGTGACACAATGCTCACAAAATCTCTACTTTTCCTGGTCTCCCTTCTGGCTGTCTGAAAGTCATTTGCATCATTTGAAAAAGATGCATTTAATTAAGATTTACCTTCCTGTCTTGCTAAACAAGTTACTTCTGAGATAAAGAGATTGTTGTTACCACAATTAATTCTTAATATAGTGAGATAAATTTTGCTTACAAAATATTTTGATATGTTCATTGGACACAGTCACTAGAAGTGCCATATTTAAATGCATTTTGGCAAACATAAAGGGAGGGGAAGAGACAGAAATAGATGTAACTGAAGGCTACAATATTTTGTCCTTGCTCTCACTCTTCATTTCTTCATCTTGGAACTTTAGAGCTTTTTCATTTTCCCTTTAATTTTGAAACAGACTAACACAGCTACTTTGAAAAATGTTTACATGTACTTCTTGTTCATCTGAAGTTAGTTTGTGTAGCACAGAGGTCGAAGTAGAATGTGCCTTTTGTATTCAAATATGTTACATTGTTCAAATTGATTATAATGTTAAGCAAGAGAAAACAACTGATTTTTTTTACAGTTAAGAGATGCCTGCCTAGCTAAGTGAAAAAAGAATCAGGTCCTGCCAATTAACACTGGCTTGCTGGATCAGACTGTGGTCCTTCTAAACCAGCATTATATTTTCAAGAGTAACCAGTCAAATATATCTGAAATACTGACAGTGGTTAAGTGATATCATTGTTTAATAATTATTTAAAGGTCTGGGTCTAGCTCTAGAACTAGTTTAATTGTTGAATTATTGGGACATATGTTTGACATAAGTTAAGGGAAGGGTAGTGTAGTGACACCTTATTAGATCACTTAAAAAAATTACAAATATAAACTAGCTTTTGACCCCATGCAGGTGTTCATCAGATCTGATCTGGGAATTATGCAGAAGAAACATAAAAGTTCCAAAATCATGGCAGATATACAGGCCAAGCTTCTCTACTTAAAGTACCATATTTTTTGCTCCATAAGATGCACCTCTCCATAAGACGCACCATTTTTTTAGGAGAAGAAAACAGGAAAATAATAATCTGTTTTCTTCTCCTAAAAATTTGGTGAGCCTTATGGAGAGGTCTGTCTTATGGAACACACCCTAGGACCCTTTGGAGGCTCACCCTGCCCCCCCCCGGGGGCCAGAGGGGGCG